AATGGCTACTCACTATAAAACCTTTTTTTACAAAGGCTATAATCCAAGAGATACAACTGCATACCTACATTTTATTCAATTTTTAGTAAAAAAATGTCTTATGTTTCCATTTTGAAGAAAAATCGCAAACAAAACAAAATTTTATTCTCATTCTTATAGCACTTTAATTTTTAGTATTATTTTTGGAAGGCAATTGATTAAAAAAACTGCTTGGTTTCATAATTCTGTATGCACCCTGTATGTATTTATACACACTGAAAGTAAACTTTTCACCAGTTTGCTACATTTTAGACGAAAAATAATCTTTGATTCTACTTTAAAAAATTAGTAACTTTATGTAAATGTATGTTTCGGATAAAATACAATATTATAGGTCTGGTAGCTACCAAGTCCGCGCGAGTTTACCATCCGAAAAACAGCAGACTCTCCTCAACCACATAACGCCCCATTCTGGAGTGATCCTCGAGCCCAGTACCGCCGGTCAACCTCCCCTTCAAACCCCCGCTCCACCGCCTACAGCACCATCAACACTAACCGTCTCTGAAAGAAAACCCAACATCTCCAAAGTCCTCAAAGGAGTAGCAGGGTCTAGCATTTCTGGTAAGCTCTTTTGGATTAGGAATTTAAAGGCTGGCTGTGAAGACGATTTTAGATAACAAAACTATCACACTTTTTGCCATTTTGATGGAACTTCTATCTACTTTTTTTCTATAAACCCTTAACAAAAAAATTACAGAATAACGTGTTCGAATTTTCCACAAATAAGATAAATATTTCATTGTTATTTTTCGGTTTCTTTGAACTACCATCAGTGGCACCTTTTATTTATTAACTAAAGCAGCAAGTGAGCAAAATTAAACAATCACAATTATCAAATTTTGCAAAATATACAGCTTAAAGATTTAAAAGCCTGGTTTTCACCGCGATGAGTGTTAATTGTTGAATTCTAGCCGATTCCATGTCTCTGAGTTCGCCGCCAGGCACCCAAAGCCCCAAAGATTTCGATAAGCTATCAGATGGGCACGTTCCAAAGGAAGTCTCCAGTCTGTCCGAACAACTGCAAAATTTAATAATGGGGCGAGTATCTCAAGCCAAAACGGCATCAAGAACGCGCAAAATTGTCATCTACGTGTGTGCTGCCGATTCACAAGGTTTGACTATAATTGCAAAAAAAAAAACACCAAATCACAATTATCGTTCTAGACTGTTATGTGGAAAAGGGGGTCCTTCATAATAGCGTGTATCCGGAATTAAGGGCACATTGCCGGTCGAAGGGTTACGAACTGCATATTGTAGACTTACACTGGAAGACTCTCTTAGAAAAACAACAAGACCACGAATTTCCCGAGCTTTGCATTGGAGAGCTTACTAGTACGTCAAAATTCCAGTTTCCACATCAAAAATGAAAATTTTGTTTTAGGACAACTGGAAGTCGCGTATATCATCCCGGTACTTTTCTTGAACAATTCCCTAGGAACACCTCTCTTGCCCATAACGATAGAAAGCGCAGATTTTAAAATGGCAATGGAAAGTGCTGAAAACCAATCAGCTCAGACCCTCCTTTCTAAGTGGTACCAGATCGACAGCGACGCCCAACCCCCCTGCTTCCGCCTCCAACCAATCTCCTACCACATCCCCGGATTCAAGGAAACGTCCCCCGAAGAGCGCGAACGAGCTTTCGAAGAGTGGAGAAGCGAAATTGATAAGATGCTCGCGGTTCTTATCACAGTTTTCACGCAAGAACTCCGCGACACTTACTTAACAACAGTGGTGGAGCAAGAGGTTCACAACACGGTTTTCATGAGTCAAGAGTTGGCCAAACGCTGTATTTGGATCAATCGCGTTTACACACCCACGGCGAAAACTCCGGATAATTTGAGTCCCGGAGACGCCGAGCTTTACAGAAGACTTAATACGCTACAGAAAGATCTCAGAGTAAGCAGATACAAAAGCTTGTATAAGGTGCCCGGAAAATGTCTTTTCAGAACCAATTAGCTGAAAAACATATTGTTAGGATTCCGGTAAAGTACGTCGAAGGCGGATTAAATCCGGAAATTCCGGAACATGCGCAATATATAGCTCAAGTGACTGCTCACTTACAAAAACATCTCTCAGAAATGATGGATTCGATCATTGAAGAACATCAGGGTAAAACAATGCTGAAACCGAGTTATGGAATCGAAGCTCCACTATTCGAAGAACTGAACCAACAAACGAGCTTTTGCCAAAAGGCCGCACAATGTAGTATTAATAGAGAAAAAACAATTAACGAAATTAAAACGTAATTTTTGCACCTAATTTATTTCATGCTGGCATCTACGAGGGGTAAACCGCAAGCAAATCGGTGTGCAAAATTGGTCAAACTCACGTTCTCAGTGAAAAATGCACATGTGCAAGTAGTTTTTTTGTTCATTTGTGACAAATTATTAATGAAGAAATCAAAGCAAAAAAGGGAATCTGGTGTATCAAATTTCAGTTGGTTTACCCTTTGCCTCAAGGGATAAAACTCAAAGGAAATTAATTTACAAAATTAGAGGAACCATTAGAAAATTAGTGGAAAGTAAAGAAAGTAGTATTAAAAAAAGTAGTTTTCTTGGTCATTTGTGAGGAAATCTTGAGAAAATCAGGGGAAATCATAAAGAAATCAAGAGATATTAAAGCAAAAAAAGGAATCTGGTGATGCTGGGTTTACAAAGTTAAGAAAATCTGAGAAAATCATTAAAAAATGCGCATACGTAAGGTTTTTTTTGTTCATTTTTGGCAAATTAGGGGAAATTTTGTGGAAAACAGCAGGAAATCAGACGAAATTAGCGAAAACCAAAGCAAAAAAGGTTTGTTTACCCCTTCGTTTCGAGGGGTAAAACACAAAGAAAATCGGTTTTCAAAATTAGAGGAAATCATCAAAAAATCAGTGGAAAGCAATGTAAAACAGAGAAAATCCTTAATAAATGCGTATGCGCAAGTACTTTGTGGGGAAATATTGAGAAAACCAAATGAAATCAGGGAAAATCATGGGAAATCAAGTAATATTAAAGCAAAAAGAGAATCCGATGTAGAAAATTTAGGTTGGTTTACCTAAACCGAAAGCGGTTTATAAAATTAGGAAAATCAGGGGAAATCATTGAAAAATGAGCAAGTAGTCGTTTTGTTCATTTAAGGAAAATTAAGGGAAATCTTGAGTAACTCAGAGAATATCAAGGCAAAAAAGGGAATCGGGTGTACAAAATTTAGGTTGGTTTTCTTCTTTCCTTGAGAGGTAAAATGCATTAGAAATTAGAAAAATCAGTGGAAATCATGAAAAAATCAGTTGAAATCTAAGGAAAATAGAAAAAAATCATGTAAAAAATGCGTATACACAAGTAATTTTTTGGGGGGAAATCTTGAAAAAATCAGATGAAATTAGAGTAATCAAGGGTTGTCAATGGGAATGTGATGTATAAAATTTGGGTTGCGGTTTGTTCCTCGCCTTGAAGGGTAAAAAAATGGGTTAAAAAATTAGGAAAATGAAAGGAAATCGTGAAGAAATCTGGAAAAATCATTGAAAAATGCGCATGCGAAAGTAGGTTTTTGGTTAATTTGTGTCAAATTAGAGAAAATCTTGAAGAAATTAAGGTAAATCTTAAGGAAATTAGAAAAAATCAGAGAGAATCAAAGCAAAAGAGAAAATGTGGTGTACAAAATTTGGGCAGTTTACCCCTCGCATATCTAATTATTTATAAGTCCAGTTTGAAATAAAATTCTGTATGTCCTTCGAGCTGCTTACTTGCTCGTACTTTAAAAATTCACTTTCTGCTCTGGATCAATAACCATTATTTTGTAGGTATATAATCGGAGAAAATCCTATTCCTCTAGTATTATACGGACCCGGTGGTTGTGGCAAGACTACTCTGTTGGCACGAGTGGCCCAGTGTTGCCAACAGTGGTTGCCGGAGGCTTTCCTAATTTTTAGATTCATCGGTATCAGTGCCCAATCAAGCACGATAGAGCAATTATTAAGTTCAATAACGAATCAATGTTCTATTTTAACGTATGGACATAAATGTTACTGTATACATGTGAGCTTGTTCCAGATAATTGAAAACCATTGCCGACTCTCCTTTTCCAGAATATAGAAACTTATGAAAAAATCCTTCCAAATCTCTTAGCAGCTAGTTGTCTTCAACGACCTTTGATAATAATCCTCGACGGCATAGACCAAGTCCGCAATTACAGTTCCAAATCGATCGAATGGCTTCCCACGAAACTACCCGAGAACATCAAACTGGTGCTCTCTGTATCAGAGGGCAGCGACGAGTTCCTCCAAATCGGCAAGAAAATCAACCAAAACACCTTCATCAAGATGCCTCTCCTGGGCGAAGCCGAGGCCAAGAACATCCTCATGTCCAGTGTCATGCAATACAATCATAGCGTTAATTCTAAAATACAAGACTGCGTTCTGAAGTCGGTACAAGAGTGCACTCTGCCGCTCTATTCCAAAGTCCTCGCGTGGCAGACCTCCTGGTGGGCGGACAAAGAGCACAACATCGTCCCCAAGGGACACGTCAACGACCAACTCAGTCTCATGCTCGAGGAACTGGAGACGATTTTAGGAGTCACTCAAGTCCAACACGCTCTTGCAATAATTACAAGCACCAAACACGGAGTCACCGACTCGGAAATGATCGATTTACTGGCTTTTGATGACAGTTTCCACAGCACGACCACTTACGGTACAAAGTGGGTTCTTACCAACTCATTTCTGACATCGTGGGTTGCAGTACCTTGGGCACCGGCTTGCTTGACGTGGTCGAGACTGAATAAACATTTAGCGCCGTTCCTGCAATGGACTTTGACCGGAGGGGTTTTAGGGGTGCAGTGGAGAGATAACATGTTGAGACAAGCTGTGGCAGTTCGCTACAAGGAACACGCCAAGTGGGCCAACCAAATGATTTATGATTATTATACAGTAAGCAGTTAAGAGTTGACATATGCGCATTTGAAGCACTCACTCGTTCGCTCGTTCGTGCTCAAATGCACATAGTATACAGGGTGCGTCAGAACTCGCGCCCCAGACAAAAATGTCATATAAAGTAAAATAGCAGGAATATGAAATAAATTTTATTTATCAAAATTTCGAAGTTATGAGGGTTTAAATTTTGCACTTTGACTCTACTTATTTTTGTTAGAAAAATAATTTTCCAAGTTTTTTTTTGCTATAGGCTCTTAAAAGAGGAAACAAGAAAGCTGTATCCTAATTTGTAACTCTGTCCAATGTTATTTGTGGCTTTTATTGGCAAAATTTTTGTACCTTTACTAAATAATTGTAAAAAAACATGTCCCAGCGAGTTGAAAAAGTCCATTAGTGACCTTTAAATCGTAAAATTTAAAAAAATTGTATAGGACATTGATAGATACTAATTTAGTGCATCACCTAAAATTATTTTAAACCATATTGCATGTCCTAAAAATAAGTTACGATAAAAACTTGTGTTTTTTTAAATAAAACACCGTATGTTTTACAAAAAAATGTAGCCTTTTATAACAATGTTTTTATGCTAAACTTTTATTAGTCGATTTCGCTTAGTTTTAGAAATAAAACGGTTTTTTTTGACAAAAACATACACTTTTTAAAAATTTATTACACAAAAACTAAGGCAGCTAGAACAAATTTTTTCTTACTTTAGCAAAGAAGAAAGTACAGAATTTAAAGCTGTAGCAATTTTTTAGTGTTTTGCATTTGTAAAGATTATAAAATTAAGAAGTTCGTTAAAAGTTAAATAACTTAAAAAATTTAAATGGAACGTATTTTTTATTTTTGCATGAAATAGAATAAATCGTCTATCTAAAAAAATAAACTTTAATGTCTAGAATTGATAAATTAAAAGATATTTAACATTCAATATTAATTGTAGCAACAATGCCGATCAATATCTGAGCATTGTTGATACTATGGCAACCATAGTAATTCCACCACGGATCACTTATCCGTTGATTTATATTATATAGAGATTGTAAAAGTCGTTATAAATACTGAAATTCGAATTATTTTATTGTAAAAATAAAGAAGAATGGATTCAGTTTAACACAAATGTGATTATGAAGTAATGTTTCTTCCATCTCTTGTGCAACTGTACACTTTTTGGCTACTGAAACAATAGTAATTATTTTTTTTTAATGTTTAACGTTAAATATCTTTTTAGTTATTGATTATAAACACCTAAAAGTAAATAATTTTAGAAAGACAATTTAATAATTTTCTAAATGCAAAAACAATAAATAGGGTGTTCCATTTAATTTTTTTAAGTTATTGAACTTTTAACTTAATTTTTTTTATCTTTGCAAATGCAACACACTAAAAAAATCTTACAACCTTATAGCTTATACCTTCTTCTTTTGCGGTAGTGAAAAAAACGTATTTCTAGATGTCTTAGTTCTTGTGTAATAAATTTTTAAAAAGTGCATGTTTACGTCAAAAAAACGTCTTATTTTTAAAACTAAGTAAAATCGACCAATAAAAGTTAAGCTTAAAAACATTGTCATACAAATCTACATCCAAAAATTCTAAGAAACATGGTGTTTCATTAAAAAAAAAAAAAACCCAAGTTTGTATTGTAACTTTGAGACAAGCTGTATAGTTGAAAATAATTTTAGGCGATGGACTAGATTAGTATCTATTAATGTCCTATATATTTTATTTTAATTTTACCATTTAAAAATCACTAATGGACTTTTTCAATTTGCTGGGACAGCCTGTATACGAGATCATCAGTATTATTAAATAGATATAAAACAATATCAAATGTCAAAAAATAAATGTCGAAATTTTTTGACAAAATTTTTCAATAATTGTACCTATATTAAAGCACAAATTTGAAATTTCGAAACGAGTTGAACAACAAATGAGCGCTTGAAGAACCTTCTGCAGCAAGTGCTTTATATCATTTTATAAATTAAAAAACGAAAACTTTAATTTTTTTCTATAAAATTTTACGACGGTTAGCGACATTTATGTGGAATAATTTTAGGCGGCTGTAAAAAATAATTCTTATTTTCACATTTTAAAATGAATTGTGATAAAAGTCCGTCACTAAAATTAAATTAACGCCAACGACTTATTCCAGCACTCAAATGACGTCATTTGGGTGCTGGAATAGACTTATTCTACCACCGAAATAGAAAAACATTTTTTCCATGTTCCTGGTATCTTACCTTACTTGAAAATTCTCTCTGGGGCGCGAGTTCTGGCGCACGATGTATTATCAATTATTATCATCGTTTACACTTTAAGGGCAAATGGTGGACCAGCAGACCTGCGAGCGTTTTGGCGCGCCTGGTGTCCCAAGAGACGATTCTGGGAAAATGGTATGGTAGTTTGCATGTCGCTTTCTTCACCGTTTTCATGACCCTTTAATTTTGCATGTACAGTTATTGAAATAAACCTTCACCACTTTTCTTTTGGTTTTTATTCAGTCAATTTGTTCACAGGATGGTGGCTCCTTGAACTTGATTGTTCTCCTTGTATCTTTTTTAGTTATAACAGGCGGAAGTTGGACGAACTGCCGTTCCACTATTATCAATTGAACGGGGAGATTGAGAATTCGCCGTACATTGCGGACATTACGTGGATTTACGAGAAAGTTTGTGGCTCGAACTGCTACCAAATTCTCGAGGACATTAATTTGCAAAAAAGTGTGAAGAATGAATTGACATTAATGTTGAGACATTTTATAGAAACCCACGCGAGCGTCCTCAATTACGACGGTAGACAGTTTTATTCGCACTTGTATAAATATTTAGAAGATAAAATTAGACGTAAAGAGATTAGTTTAGAATCAAATTCCACCCTAGCCCAATTGTACAACGTGACGAAAAGCCCACCAGTTTTATCACTCATCCCCTTAAACACCGGTCAAGGCAAGGAAGGGGATGACTCTGCGCCCGTTTTTCAGTATTTCGATTTGGTGACAAGACTACCGGAAACGGATCAATTTGTCGTTAGTGTATCCACGAACAAGGAGGAAATTTGCGTTTGGGACGTCAAAAAGTATGTTAAAACGTTCCGAATTTTGGTTTTAAGGGTGTTTCCAGGTGTAGTCAAGTGCGCATCTTGAAAGGCGTCCCACATCCGACCAATCTAATTCCGATCGACCAATACAGATGCATAGTATTGTGTAGGAGAGAGTTGAGGATATACAACCTAGACTCTGGTACTTTTATGACCAAACTGAAAGGAGTCATGAACCAAAAAATGCCTTATTTCGGGCTTCATGACCAAAGCCATTTGGTGGCGCTTAGCAGAAACCGGATGTATGTTAATCTTATGAACCTGGAGACTGGCGATTGTGTTACCACATTCAAGGCTGGGGAAGACCGCTTTCTCAATTCCCTGCTGGTTTCGGGGGATGGGAGGTAAATAAAACTGCAGTTAAACAAACAGGGTGTATCAGAAATACATTTTTTCTATTTGAAATTTTTTAATAAAAGCTTTCAAATTTGATTTAAACTTTGGAAAAGATAATATATCAAAACCTATACTCGCCTATGGGTATCAAATAAAAAATTCCGAAATATTTTCGTTGTGAAACGGAACTACATTAAAAGAACTGCATTGTTGTGATTATTTATTAACATTGAACGGCTCGTTTACACAAAACTCTGGGGGAAAACAATAAAAACAATTAATAAGAATTTTGCAAAATGTTATATAGAAAAGTTGTTTTACTTGGTGAATTTTTTCACGTGTTAAAAGTAACACACCTATTTCTGATACACCCTGTATACACAAAAAGTGTTTTTACAGATAAGATTTATTTAAACATTTTTTTAATGTTTCTGGTATCTTATTTGAAATCTTTCTTTGGGGCGCAAGTTCTGAAACACCCTGTTTTTCCTGTAATAATATAGTAATATACAACTCTAAAGTTTCTATTCCAACTATTTCCTATGAGGACTATAATTTGCGAGAAGACGAAAGGTTATTAGATTTTGACGAATAAAAAAAAATTAAAAAATAGAGTTGTTATGTAGAATTTGTGCTTTTTTCTTTTTAAATTATTTGCACAATTTTGCGGTATACGCTTTGAAAACATTTCTGTGGCGGCCGAAGAATTTTTCACTTGAGATGGTTTTATTTTCTAATTAAAACTCTGCGCTTGGCAATCAATTCTGCCAATTTGAAATTACAACCCTTGAGTCTGATTTTAATTTTTTTATTACATTTCGTTTATACAGGGTTTTCCGTTTTTATTGTTACAAACTTAAACTTGAACGAATTTAAAGATCAGTTGTCGAAATTTTTAATCACGGGTTTCTTAATTAGTGATACAAATTTAATTTTTATCCTCTTTATGGTCTGTAAGACAAATTATAAACTGATTTTACTCAAAAACGGTAAGTTTTGTCAAAAAAATCCAAAGTTACCTCTTTTTTGTGAAAAACTATGAAATTTAGAAAGTGGCAAAAACCAACGCCAAAATAGTTAGGGTCCTTTTTACCCTAAACCGCCCAGTTTAGGGCTCCCCTAAGTAAAAATTTGACATTTTATCTTTGAATTTATTTGGGTGGATAAAGGTTATTAGGTGTACCAAATTTTTTAATTTTATCCACGATGGTTTCTGAAATATGTATTGGAAAAAATCTATTAAAAAATGCACCCCTTACAGGGGATGTGGCTCCCTTATATAAATTTTTTCGATATATGTTTATAGGATAGTTTTATCTTAAAATTGAATATTCTATCATGTGGTTAAATTTGTAACAATAAAAATGAAACAGCCTGTATATTGAGGTATGTCCATGCAGTAAATTTTGTTGATCAATTAATTATTTTTGCAGAGTCCTTGTGTGTGGCGATGAAACACAAAAACCGTTTCCTCTCCTAGTATGGAACCTCCAATCCAGAAAATTATTATATGACCTTAGAATACCTCATCACGATTTTATAACTTCATTGTCGGCTATCACTTACGAAGGTGAGGAGTTTTAGTTATTTCCCAAACTCAAGTTTGTGCTTTCAGGTAGTTACGTATGTTGTGTTTGTCACGAAATAGACGAACCCAATCCGAATTTCATCGTTGTGTATGATTTGCAAAGTGGTACTTTATTTAAAAAATGGAAACCTTCATGTAATACGGTTTCCTTAGAAATTAGCTCACAAGGCGGCTGTGTCATATCCGGTCTCGAGGACGCTCGAATACTCGTTTGGGACCTTATCACTGGTACTGCGCAAAAATGCGATAACCCGACCTAAATGACCCATTTTAGGTAACTGTCGATGGTCTTTATGTGGCCACACCGCTCCGGTCTCCTCCCTTAAACTTGATCCAACGGGAGGTTTGTGTTTGTCCACGGATTCGGAATGCAGAGACAGATCCATTCGGCTCTGGGATCTCAATAAAGGTACCATTTTTTGGGAAAAACACGATTGTAAATTCTAATTTTTTGACTTTTAGGCAACTTGGTGTCTGTTTACACACCCACCAAGAACATTGCTGCGTGCGAATTGACATCCAACGGTCACTACATAGTTCTGGCTTTGGAAGGAGAGGAAGAAGTGACTATTTTGAAGCTAACAGGACTGGGTTTGAACACGAACGAAGAAAATGAAACGTACGGAGTGGCGGAAAACACTGGCAAAATTTTTGAACTGAAGGAGAGTGATGCGTGCTGACCGAAATAGTTTAACTCTTTTCAATTATCACAGGAATTGTTTAAATGTAATTAAGAATTTTCCGAGTCGTGCTTATTTGTCATTGTTTTTTGGGCAAAATACATTTCGATGGACTGTGCTGGTAGCAGATCCAGACTACAACATATTTTTATCCTTTTTATAAGTTATTTGGATTGTTCCTGTCCTTGTACATGTACCTTCTATTTCTATCAACTTTGCTTAATTTACTTCACGGAATGGACTGGTGTTTAAAATTGTCAAGGGAAATCGAGTCACTCCACTGCCAAAATGTAAAGAAAATCATTAGACGGTTGCCAAAGTACGTAATGCTTATATTTCGAGATTACGGTTTTTGTAACGCCAAGACTTCGACTCTCACAAAAACGGTGACAAAAAAGCCGGCTCACCAATGTTATAGAGTATTTTAAGCAAAGTCCTATTGTTGCAAAGATATATTCCCATCTGGTATGCGGAACAATATAATTAAAATATTATATTTGTATGTTGTGATTCTTGTGTAAAAATAAATGTAATAAACAATGAAACCAACTTCATTTGCTATCTCACGAAACATTTTCAATTTGTGCATTTCTTGAACATTTTTTTAAATTTCGTTGCAAGTTTTTCGATTTTTTATTTTCGGAAACTATAAGTCTCCCCAACTGTCTTTTGCAACACGACAAAAATGCCAAGTGCGAATTTTTAATTTTGGAAAAAATTTTTAGCCGCTATTTCTGAACACTTCCGTAGTCCACCAGCTGTTTTTTGTAACTTGGTATTTTGAAAAATTCCGATTTTTTTATATAGGGTAATTTTTAAAAAACGGCAGGCTCTATATTGTCGTATCAACAAGACATTACTGCCTAGGATTTAGGGATATTCGTGAATAGGTTGTCAAAAATTTGGTTAGATTGACAACATAAAAAACATAATTTTCAAGTCTTAGTTGGCAATTTCTTGTTGACAAATCTGTAGAATTTTTATTTATAGCCCAATTTCGAAAATTAAAAAAATTAGTTTTAATTAGTATAAAGGTGACAAATAATTTTAGAATGTTTCTAAATATTATAGTAAGTATACAGGATGCGCCAGAACTCGCGCCCCAGAGAAAAATTGCAATTTTCATGTTAAAATTAATCAGTTAAGTGTAGTTATTTGTACAACTAGTTTTGAAAGTCATATTTTTAGAACGAGTTGTACACAACATTTTTTTGCATAGTCATAACCCCAAAATACCCCAAAGACATCAATTTGATAAAGAGTTTGTTTATAACTTTTTATACGATTAATCGTGATGAAAATTCAACTATGCAAAAAATTAAATTAATAAACCAAAAAAAAAATGGCAACGGCACGCGGTGTTCCCAAGCGGTCACCCATCCAAGTACTGACCGCGCCCGACGTTGCTTAACTTCAGTGATCGGACGAGAACTGGTGCTTTACAACGTGGTATGGCCGTTGCCGTAGGAAAATGTCCTCTTCAACGAGATAAACCTTGAAATTAAGTTGGCAATATAGAATTATTAGTGATATTAATTTGATAATTTATACATATTACTAACTTAAAAGTCAGTGTCAAATAAAATTGGTAATCATGGCGGTATATGGCAAAAATTGAAAATTGTAGAGACGAGAGATGCCACAATAAAACGTCTTATTGAAGCTAGATAAATAAGAGAGGTACAAAAGGTCTTAAAAAACCTTCAAAAGTTTTAAAAAGTCTTTAAAAGTTCATACAATTAATCTATTTTCTGACCACACACCATATAACAATTATTTAGCTCGTTGAAAAAAAAATATTTATTCATTAATATTTTTCTACAATTTTTATTTTTATGTTTTTATACTTGTTTTTCCAAGTAAAGCGTTTTTTTTTTCGATTTAGGCGTCGGAAAATTAATAAAATTAAAGACATTTTCAACCGTTGAGCACTTTATTTCGTAATAGGTATTTTAAAAATAAGTTTTTATTTCATTTTTACTATGCAAAGTTTTAATTTGGTAAGCAAAAACTATAAAGGGTGCGCTAGAACTTGCGCTGCAGAGAAAGATAAAATACCATAAACGTAAAAAAAAATGTAAAAAAAATTCTATCTATAAAAATTTCGACGTTAGGAGAGTTTAAATTTTGCACTTTGACTATTTCTATTGTAAAAATAATTTTCCAAGTTTTTTTGCTACAGACTATTAGAAGAGATTATTAGAAGAGAAAACAAGGAAGCTGTATCCTAAATTGTAACTCTGATGTTATTTGTGGCTTTCATTGATAAATATAAAAAACATTACAAGATCATCAGTGTCATTAAATAGACATAAAAATGTCAAATGTCAAAATTTTTTGACAGGTAGAATTTTTTAAACATTTTTTCCATGTTCCAGGTATCTTATCTGACTTGAAATTTTTCTCTGGGACGCGAGTTCTGACACTCTATATTTTGAACTAAATTCAAAAGTTTCACATATCGGCACCATATCATTGTTAGCGCAGGCATAACAGGCTTCGGTCTCTGCCCGATCGCAACATGCTAATAATAATAATATTCTAATTTTACATAGGAACCCAATTTTTTTTTCATAATTTGGAAAGTATTAGTTTAAAAAAAAGTAATAAAAGTTAATAGTTGCATGGTGTAAAATAAGAAAATGCCATTTTTGTAATGTCACAAAGCAATAAATGAAAGAAAGTACTACCAATATTTTTTCAAATTTTTATTAAAAAATGACAACTTAAAAAAGATGACAAATTACATCTAATAATTACATAAACATCTACTTTAGTGTTATTAATTTATTTTGTTAATTATTTATTTGTTTTGTTTACTTTTAAAAAGATCTTAACGTCAATATTTTTATTGACAACATACAACTAGATTTTATTAACTTTTATTGGTTTTTTAACTTTGATAATTTTTAGTAAAAATAGGAAGTGATCCAGAAAGACTGAGTCTGTTGGTAAAGTATTTTTGTTAATAATTTAGAACACTGCAACCGGATACGGTTTTGCTTGACAAATACTTGACGTACAACCCCTCAAGATTCTTGAATTGTTTTTAATCAAAAGCGTACCCCAATAGTAAACTTTAAAAATTAGAGTCAGGATTGCCAACATATTGCATAGGTCTATACTTTTACCTTTACCCAAATTATGAAAAAAAGAGTATCAATTTAAAAGTTGAATAAAGACCAAAATATCTACTATACTACGACATTTAGAAAAATTCGAAAACTGTTAGCTTATAAAAAATTAAAATCTATTTAATTAATATTTTTTTTAATATTGAAATAAAAATTCTACATCGCCTGCTGTTTTTTAAAAATCACTCTGTATTCGAGCGTTTTTGTATTTTCTTTTCTTTCTGTTACTCCTAATTTTTTTACAAGTCTGTAGATTTTTTAAGCCGATATTTCCGGAAATTCTAAGTCTTCCCAACTGCCTTTTGCCGCCGGATATTTTCAAAAGTCTGATTTACATGGCATAAAAATGATTTATTGTATGTAAAATTCATAGAAGTATTCCCACCCCATCGACAATTTTTGATAAGCGGACAACGAAAATTAATATCTGAGCTGGGAATCCGGCACGTTAATCATCATCTTACTCTTTTTACTTTCGGGATTTTGAAAATCGCCTGCCACCGTTTCGTTCTCATCGTGTCCACCATCAGCGTCGTTATTCGGCGCCGCCGCATGCGTCTGGGGCGCCGAGTGAATCAGCCTGCCGATCAACGGCGACACTCTGTCCTTTTTCACTCTCAACCACTCGTGGGCCATCACTCTGTCCAAAGTCAGTCGCAAAGTCAAATCCGGCTCTAGCAAATGTCGCACTAAGGATTTAACAGTTGATGATAAAGTGTCGCGCACCCTGGATCTGAACACCCAGTTTTTCGTCATCTGATCCTTAAGCAATTTTCTCAAGTTGGTGTCGTCGAAAGGCATCGATGCGTTCAACATGATGAAGAGAATGATCCCCAAGGACCACACGTCGGATAATTTCGGATTATAAGGTGTGCCGTTGACCACCTCCGGGGCTGCGTAAGCGGCAGAACCGCAGTAGGTTTGGCTCAGGATTCGGCGGTTGTCGGAATCCACGCAAAAACGAGCAAAGCCGAAGTCGGCGATTTTCACGTTGAATCGGCGAGATAATAAAATATTTTCGCATTTCAGGTCCCTGTGGGCTATGTTTTTGCTGTGGAGGTACTGCAAGCCGCTCGCCATCTGTCTGAACCATATTTTCGCCTGCGGCTCCGGGATTATGCTGTTTTTCTTTATAAAATCCAAAAGGTCACCATTGTCGGCATACCTGAAAACAAGGGTCATCCCTGACATCGGGATTAACGGCGTTTACCTCATAAAAATAAAAACCCTGCTCCCTCTTTGAAGGATGCTGTGCACTTGCACGATGTGCGGGTTCTCAATTTTGGTGAGAATCTCCAGCTCCCTGGGGAAGAACTTCTCGAGGAAGTCCTTGGGAGCCTTCTCCTTGTCGAAAATCTTGCACGCAAGTCGCATCCGTTTGGGGCCGGAACCGTCCACATACTCGGCCAAGTGGACGGTGGCGTAGGAACCTTGCCCGATTTTTTTACCGATTAAATATCCTCGCTGTTCCAAAGCATTTACTTCAGAATTTCTTGGACTGAGTCGAGAAGCCATAAGATATCTAACACTTTATCGCGGGTACAAAAATTTAATTCCTTTATATCCATCAAGAGGACCATACGAGTCATTCCATACTTGGATTTTCGGCGGAATACTCAAATTCGTTTAAGCATGAAATTTTGTCACAAAAATTTGTTTAGCCGAAAGGTTGTAGCTTATGACGGACAGATGACTTGACACAGATAACTACTTGATTGCAATTTCAAGAAAACAAAACTGTTTCATCTCCAGGGTACTTGCTCCTGAACCCTAGATACAAAACAAAAAATAAAAAAAACTGGTAAAACACTAAAGACTCCTTCATTAAAAAAATCTTTATTAAACTATTCATCATTCTCCACTTCTCCTGTGTCTCTAACTTCACTTCTTTCTTCTTCTTTTTCTTGCATTTCCGAATCCTCCACTTCCGCTTCTATGGGCTCATCCTCGATTGGCACCGGCAATTGTACATTTTCTTCTTCTCTCTCATCTTCACTGTCTGTGTCTCGATCCTCCCCAGGATGCGACGAAACAAAATACTCATGTTCTTTAACTTCACAATCTCCAGGTTTCTTCCACTTTTGTGTTTGCTAAATAACAAAAATTAAAATTCTTAGAAGAAAAAAAAACACACTAAACCCAACCTACCTCATAATACTCTTTCATCTGCTTCACCCTCTGTGTATAAAACGTGTAAACAAAATTAGCCATATAGGTCATATCTTGTATCACAACGACTTCATTTTGCGGCTTTGCATCGTTATATCTACTCGCTGGATAAGTCTCATTGACCACTAAATGCAACTGAGTCGGCCTTTGAGTCAACTGTTCAAAAGCCGGTGTTAATTCAAAGCAATTCTGAAACAGCGCCACTCTCGCAAACACATACAGCCCCAATCGGGCACGTGACATGGCCACAACCAATCGGCGAACGTCTCTCAAATGCCCAACCGCCTTAGTCCTCACCAACGACAACAAAATAAAATCGTTCTGCTGCCCTTGATACTTATCCACTGTGGTGACTTTATGTGGCCTCCCAATCAAAGGATTATTGGCACACCTCGCGTTGATAACATCACGTATCAAGTGTTTTTGCCCGTTGTAAGTCGTCAAAATGGTTATTTTATGAGCCGGATAACCGATTAGTCTCATATACATAAAAACAGCAACGCAATACTCCGCCTCTGCCAGATTTTGATAGAAATAAGGACTAGGTTCTGACTCCCCAATTCCATTAAAATCCTGAGTATCAATTAATTGAAAATCGTAAACAAAACCAGCATTAGCGGTACGATACTCCGCCCAGTTCAAAACATGCACCAAATTGCCCAAATTCTTGTAACGCCACTTGTACAAGTTACAAATGTTGGGCCTGGCACGACCTTGACCGTCCAGATCCACCGTCGGGACCCCCAAACGAACAAGTCGAGTGAAAAGACTTTGCTCCATATTGGAATATTTCTGAAACGCCATGTTTTTTATAACTGGAGGTAACTGATGGTGGTCTCCAATCATAATCCATCGTTTCAAACGGTTATAACCGTCTTGCGGGTTTTGAAGAAGTAAAGGAATAAAAGTCTCAATTTCCAAAATTTGGGCTGCTTCTTCCATCAAAATATTATCATATTTGAACCCCATCTCGACCAATTCTTTCCTTTTCAAAGCAGCATGGGTACAAGTCATTGCGATTATTTTTGCTTCCTTCACTAACAAATACTTAGAACGATCCAAACCCGATCGTAGTAATTCAAAAGCACGAAATTCTTCCAACTCCTTAAAAACATGCTCAATGTATCTAAAAAAATCCACAATAAACACAAAAATTTTACTGAAAACACAATAAAACCTGAAGCAACTTTCCGCAATCTCGAGATCTTCATCAAAATCTTTCCCTTTAAAAAGTGGCTGCGCATCGGCAAAAAACTTATGAAATGGAAACTCAGAATTAATTTTCTCAATAGGCACAGCCTGTTGTCGCTTCGGCTTAACAATACTTTGATAATTCTCCCATCTGGACAAAATTTGATAAAGATAAAAATGCCCAGCGGTTTCGCACGTATATGCAACATCCCCTTTCACGTCAAGTGACTCTTGTAGTTTTTGAACTTGCACCAACAAGTCCAAACGCTTGGCCAAAACATAGTTGACACGTCCATACCGACTGAAATCTTTCTCAGTTTCGAGAGCTTCCTCACCGTGCCCAAGACGCAACAAATGCCTTTCATCTATATCTAAAGCTACAATTTTCTCAAACAATTGATTCAAAGCTTGATTGGAGTGAGTCACAATCAAGGTGCGTTGATTGGGAAAATTGTGATAAATGTTTGAAATAATCTGAACCGCAACGTCGGTTTTTCCGGTACCTGGAGGACCAACAACGAGAGTTAAACCAGGTTGCATGCCGGATTTAATAGCCTCGACTTGAGTGGGGGTAAATGGAATGGTGTTCCTGAATAAAAATAAAAAAACATTAAAATGCGACAAAAATTTTTCCTTATTACTTTTTCGGTTCGTTGAAGTGGTAAGGTCCCCGTTTTGGTGTAATATACGGCTCAACTGTGATAACTTTCTCTTCGTTTTCGGTACCCAAATCGCCAAAAGTCAGTCTAAAAGGCCGTACCAATTTTTTGGGATCGTTAGTTTTAACTTTGATTTGATAATTCGGGAAACACGAACGCAAATGATCCATGTCGATAAAAGTGTCATTAAAATCCATAGTTGTGGTAGGATTGGGCATTTTGGCGTAATGTGCAGCACTGGGATCGCCATAACCCAAAATAATGTCATGTAACCAATCCGGAACGACACATTCTGTGTTCATCAACTCTCGAATCGTTTCAAGCACTGCTTTAAAATTGTTTTCTTTCGGTTTACGTCTCATCAAAATGTTAAACTCTTCGTAGACGTCCTCTTTGCCTTGATTTACATTATTCATGTCATCTCGATACTGATTGCAATCCAGCCAAACTCTATACGTTCTTTTATCTCCCGGTATGATTGGCCTTGGTTCAGGACCATCTTCAATCACTCTACCATTAGTATCCAACATTCCTTCAATTTCACACCCTCTGACGCAATGAAGCCCCACTTGCGGTATAAAAGGTTGTTTATAATCGTATTTAGTGCCAATAGAGCTCGGTGGTCTGACCGTAATCAAAAAACAGACATCGTGTTTGCGCAAATTCTCCCATTCGGCTTTAATTTCCGGACGCACTGAAAGATTAACAGTGACATCAGCTCGCACTCTACTAGGCCTTTTTTCGCCAATGTTGGGTTTAGCTACTTCAACAACGGCGAAATTGAGGATTGGTTGGGCCATACGAGCCCAGCCGCCCCAATAAACGCTATCATCTTCTGCTCTCCTGTTGTAAAACAGTAAACAAATAAAGTTAAACATGAAAAGAAACAACTCACCAAGGACACAGTCTACTAACTGCATCTTCTATATCTTGTCGAATTTCATCTAAAAATAATATATTTGAGAGTGAAAATTAAGTGAGTGGTTCATTTACATGTCGATTCCAACCGAAACAAATTAAAGTTCCGCAGAAGGTAATCATGCAGTGTTAGAAACTGCAGATTCAACTTTGGTAACGCAAGACATCCCTCTCCCGAAAAATAAGCCGTTGGTACCACATTCTCATCCCAGATTACATCCTCAGTGGGATAAAGCGGCATCTCATTGAGTGCCTCCAACTGAGATGTCCTTCTTTCATGTCTAGACACCAGCAGTTCACGCAAAAACTCCTCATCTAATCGGCACCAATTAACCTCCTTTTCCTCCTCGGGAGAAGGTACCAGTTTCAAATATGTCGCAATCAGTCTCAATTTGTCTTTACTACAAATGACCACATTAGAAAAAAACACACTAGGATTGTAAATCTTACTTTAAGGGACCGAAATGCTTCATTAAAGCTTTTCGGGTATCCACGCTGGCAACGTTAGCCAAAGAAAAATTACGCAAATCGGGGAATTTAGCAAACGCCGCTTTCTGGAATTAGTTTTTGTTGTATCAAGGAACGCTATTAAAGTGCTGGGTTGGAATTACCTGGAGTGAGGTAATTTTTGAGTAGTGTAACTGTGTCATGTCGTGGTCGGTGAGGGGATCTCCCGTTTCGTCGCTGATTTCAAATCTTGCGTAAAATTTCAGCATGTCTAAGAGCTAAAGGAACAAAAATAGATCATTATTTACCAAAGTCGCCAATGAAAGGTAGGTAAAAAAACCAATAGCATACTTTTTTTTTTAAATAAAATTATACATTGACGATTTAAAAAAAATCTAAATATTAATATGATAAATATACAATTACCGTTCAACCAAAGATTAATATAAAAATACTACTGTAAATATTTTTCTAACCGATTTAAAGTACATATTTTGTTTAAAACATATCATTGAAAAACTAATAAGTTAGCCATTGCTTGGGAGTGGAATACACTATTTTTTTTACTGCTGTCAAAAGTACTTATTTCGTATAAATGCTTCAATAAAAGCATAACAAATAATGTAATTATAAAGCATGCAATCACTTTAATCTTAACCCACTTTGTTCAATTAGTTCGAGGTCAGAAATCATTGAATGAATCTTCTTGACATGTAGGCATAACAAAACCTAATAAATTAATAAAAGATAAACCAGTTTGCAAATAAATTTTTGCCCTCGAAGACCTCGTTGCGTGTGAAAACATCCTTCTTTTTTTAAAATTTGACGCAAAACGCGCCAAAACCGCAGCTACTACAGCTGTGGTAAAACAAAAAGGAACGTAATCGTTATTTATCAAATAACTGTAATAACAAAGTGCGTCATTAGTACCGTATATCTGAAGAAACAGTCAATTAGAGAAGGCACTTTCCAAACAAACAAATTTTCAAAATGATTATTATGTTGTGTCAGCCGAGTGGTAAAAGATTCAGCTGGAATATCGGTACAAATTCCGCAACATCGAGTAACAAATGATATGTTTTCGGTCATTTGCGTTCAGAGACGTGATGTGTTAACTAAATGATTATTAATATAGTATTATCAATTTAAATTACGTTCTAATCACCAGTTACTCATCGTATTTGAGGTAAGAATTTACTCTATTCCGCTTTAACCTTAGTAAAAGTAAGTAAATTCTGTTAACTTTATTGCCGTTAAAATATTACTTTTGAAACTGTTATTGTCAATTAAAGATGTTCATCAGACGTGAAAACCTGTTGTTTAACTTTTTTTACTATTTCTGGCTTCTTCATAATTAATGATAATGAAGAATAATTATTAATTTTCTATAGATGTGTGTGTTGTAGTGGTTTTTCCTGGTGTTGTGTGTATCGGTAAAAATTTGATGTTTTGAAATGTAATGAGATATGTGGCGTGTGTACCCTGTGATTTTAATAGATCACACAAAAAACGCCTTTAATAATGTTAATTAAATCCTATTTGCGCACTGTTAGAATTGTGAGACTTAACATGCAATAAAAAGTTGGTTTTACGCTTGATTTGCAAAGAATTTTAAATTTACCTTCACTACCTAAAAAACTTGATATGCATCAGCTTATAACAATTTGGAAAATCCAATAAAATTAGCAACACTCGTAAAAATCTGCCGAAAAACAAACTATGAAATTAAATTTAACAAAGTATGTGTCGATCTATTGAAATATTTTTAGAACATTAAATAAAAAAAGATGTATTTATCGCGTCTCAAAAAGGTGATATGCATTATTTTTAATTATTTAATTTAAGAATACAACATTATCTTAATTTAGATCTTCATAAATAAATTCCTTTTATGAGAATGTTATGTTCACAATTTAAAACTTTAATTACAGTGCGAAAAATAACTGAAAGATTTAAAAAATCCACATGAACAAAAAGGTGAACCAAACGTTTTTTGTTAAAACTATACAGCATGTTTCAGAACTCGCACTCCAGAGAAAAATGCTAGGTAAGATAAGAAACCAGAAACACGAAAAAATGTTAAAAAAGTTGTATCTGTGACATTTGACTTTTTTATGTCTGTTTATTATTGTTACCGATTATATGTTTTTTCGTATTTATTCGGTAAAACTCCAAAAACTTCGGCAACAAAAGCTAACATTAACCATAGTTACAGTTCAGGATACAATTTCTTTGTTTCCTTTTTAATAGCAGAAAAAACATAATAAATCATTTTTACAACAAAAATAAATAGGATGAAAGTGAAAAATTTGAGCCCCATTAATTTCGAAATTCTTTTTGATATTAATAATTTTTTTAACATTTTTACTATGTTCCTAGTATCTTATCTTACTTCACATTTTTATCTGGGGCGCGATATTTGTTACACCTGTATTTATTTTTTGACTAATTGATGAATAAGTAATAAAATACTATACAACTGTGACGTTTCTCGAAAATAAAATATTATTATCCGCAAACGTCACAAAAGTGACCACTTTTATGACTAAATGACACAGGTAAAAGTTTTACTTTTCAGACATGGAGTAAAAACACTGTTTTTAAGCCTAGGCGTTTTCACTTTTACTTGACACTTACTTTGACATTTACCTCTGTTGTCTCTTTCTTGTCTCTTTCGCTTTTTCAGCATTTTCTGAAGAGGTACAAGGTAGATTATCAACATTCGACATTTTTCACTATAAACTACAGCAGTTATTCACCAGTTAAATCAATCAACACTTTCGAAAAATCTCAACACAAATTCCGAAACTGACGCGTGACGTTTGAAGCTGAATCCATTTGCCCACTCCGTTCGGCAAAATGAACGTTCAGCTTCGCCACATAAACAATCACTTTTACTCCTAATAACATAATCTAGTATTGTTTCTGAGAATTAAAAAAAAAAGTGACAACCCACTATAAAACCATTTTTGACAAAACCTATTATCTACGATTTACAACTATCTACATTTTATTCACTCTTTATCAAAACAATTTTCATGTAATTTGGAAAAAAAATCGCATAACTCAGAAACAAATCAAAATTTCAAAAGACGATTATAGTTTTTACAGCACTAATTTTTATCAATTTTTATTTCCTGAATGCAATTGATTTAAAAAAACGCTTGGCTTCATACTGTTTGTTCACCGTGTATGTGTTTTAATTGAAGAAAATTGTAATTTGATTTTAATAAAATATACAAAAATTAGCCTTTTTTTTGTTCTCTTTAACAAAAACAATGACACGCCCTTTTATAGTGATAACTAATCTCACATTATCACAGTCAGTTTTAGAATTATCGACGGCAAATTTATCGTAGTGACATTTGACACACTAATTACTCAAATTGGAGTTATTTTAAATTTACAAACATACAAATTATGAATTGATTAATTGCAATGACGACACAAAAATCTGTTTACGTGAGTATACATTGGGACTTTCCTATTGGCAACGTCGCAACTGCGTTTTTTAAGTAAAATAGATCACAAATATGTAATTTCTGTGCAAAAGAACAACTGCACCCTACTAACAAATTTCGAGATAAAAAGCTCCACAATTTCATACAGAAAAAAACCTTAAGTGTAAGAATGGCAGTAGAAAAGTCCCGAGATATACGTGTTCTCATTTACGTAACTGTTACCTATTTATAAACTTATCTTTTTTTTAGGATGATAAATATTTTGTTACAAATACTAATTCTGATTCCGACTTGCTTTTCGTCAAACCCTTGCTGTGCAAACAATAATTCTATAAGCGAAAGAAGATGCATAGATGGTTCACCATTGCAAGGTCTTTCATGTCCTCACAAATACCTAATCGAAAAAGATCCAGATATCGAAGTTGATAACGATGATAATCTCAACATTGCCTCATCTCAAGTACCACTAAACAGGTGGTATTATACTAATAAAAAATAACAGTAAAATTGATAACAAATTTCAGATACTGTGTATCAACAAAAAACGACACTGTTGTTTTTATCGTTTGCTTCAATGAGGACCCCAATGACAACACAATCTACGTCGTTCATGCCGTTCTAGAATTAATTTCCGTATTTTTCATTTTGATAACAATATTTGTATATTTGCAACTGCGTGGCGACCTATTAGATTTACAAGGAATATGCATTATGCATTCCATTTCAGGATTAGCTACCTCATTCTTGACTTTAGCAGTAAACCAACTACTACCCGGTGGTTTAGAAAAACCATCTTGCATCGTGTTGGCCTATATTATCTATTTTTCAATGCTATATTCATTTTTTTGGTTAAATGTATTGTCTTTCCATATCTGGAGAGTTATTGTGTAAGTGTAGTAACCAATACAAAAAAACAGTATTTATTTGTAATTTTTTCTTTTAATAGACAACCACGTTTTCTAAAAATGTTGGCCCCTTATTGGCTTTACATCTACTGTAGTTTTGGTTGCGGAGGACCCACTTTTTTGACAATCGTCCTCTCAATAGCTCAATCTATGAACGAATCCGATTCCCATCCTGGATTCGGAGAAACCAAATGCTGGTTTAAATGTAAGTTCCTTACAGTCCTTTAAGTTAACTAAAATAATGTTACTACAGCGACGAAAACCCAGTTCCTCTACTTTTATACACCAATGGCAATACTGCTATTTCTAAATATCATTTATTACGCTTCAACTATTGCAACTTTATGGAAAAGCTTGAAATCAGTAGATGAAAAGAAAACCAAAGTGATGAAATACAGATTGCTTCTTTGTGTGAAATTATTCTTCATAATGGGCATCTCTTGGATATTTGAATTATTATCAGCGGGTTTTCAAGACAACAACACCCTTCAAACCATATGGTAAGTTTCCATTACAAAAACTTTGAGTTCATCCAGTTAATTTGTAGGCACGTGACAGATGTACTCAATACCCTACAAGGAATCTTGATATTCCTTATTCTCGTGGTGTTCAGAAAAAAAGTTGTTCGAGGTTTAGCAGATAGAAGCTTTTGTGGTGTACGGTTACCAGGACGGTGGCGAGGCGCCGCTGATGAGGAATGTGGAGAAATCGAAGAAGAATTAAACTTATCAGAGACACAAGTCCATAAAAACTAAAGAATTGTGATTATTATTCGGGGTAAAAAGTCAGATAAAAAGTTTTTAAAACGTTCAACAATTTATGGTTTATTCAGTTCCTACTGTACAAGCCCAACAAGAAGAATTTTAAACATAGAAACGGTGACGACAACAACAAAACACAAACAACTGAAATTTGTGCTAAAAAAATACTGCTAAAGTGAATAGAATAAAACAATTAAAAGTTATTTTCTATTTAACTGTTGTAGCAATTTTTACGTTAAAAAAATTATGGGAAACTCACATTCCTTATTTGATTTAATGAAAAGTATAGCATTTAAAAGAAAACTGATGATTTAAACCAAATTCAAGTATTCTTACTAAATTGTAACCAAGTTAAACTCCACTTATTTAAAAACATGTTTTTCTTATTTTAAAGAAACCGTGATTCTAAATCAAATATTTAATTGTGGTCAAATTAGAATTATACTCCTGCTTACAAACGATTATTTAAAGATTAAATTACGCATATTTTTAATACGTCATTTGCGTGAGATGAATTAACTAATCGAATGTTTTGGCGAAATAAATATATATTTTTCCAATTAAGTATGTAAAAATACCGAATTATATGAATTTATCATAAAAAGCTTTTATTAGTGAGTTTTAGTCAATTTTTTATTGTATAAAAATTGTTTTATTCGTGCTGCCCATATTTTAATCCTTCACAACTTAATTACTCTGGTAAAATAATTTTATGAAAAGAAACAGTTAAATTAAGAAGCAAAAAATTATTAGAGCTATAACAACTTTTGTAGAATAAAAATATTGTACTATACATTTTTACAAAATGTACTATTTTTTTTTTATTTTAATTCAAATTTGTTTCACTTTTGTGCAAGTAGATCACTAAATTAAGAAGAAAATGCCTTTCTCCAAAATACAAAATTTGACCCATCGTGCTATTAAAAAAAAATCAAGTAGTGTTTCTAAAACAAAGGGAGTAGCAATTTAAAAAATATTTGGGAGAATGTATTATAAAAACTTTATTCAATTTTGCCTGACGTATGTTTATGTCAAATCAAACTTTAAAAAAGTCATTGTTTATTTTGTTTATTTAAGCAACGCATTAAAACATTAATAATTCTATAATCGATGTTGTGTTTTTTTTTTAATTTATAATAAAAAATAGCAATGTTCAAAGTGAATTTTAAATTTTGAAAATCAAAGTTTCGAATTTATAGCTTTCTTAGATTTGTTACTTTCTTAATAATCTAAAAAGAATCCAGGTAGTTATTGAAATACGCAAACCACTTTTTGTAAGGGCCGACATTTTATAAGAATGTCCCTGTATGAATATATATATTTATTTTTTTGTCTTGGAATTTGAGTAAATAATTTACACTAATTTATACCCTTAAATAAACACAATTAAATTTTACACAAGCACCATGTGTATTCGACGCCACTGACTATTACTCATCCTTGAACACGATCTGTTGTCTCATTTAACAGACACAAAGACAGTGGGGGAAATTCGAATTGCGTTATTATGACGGAAATGTAGTATGATTTACCTGTGACTAGTCACCGACACATACATAATTTCCGTTAAAAATTATAATATTGGAAATAGAAAACACACAAGGGTGGTAAGTGGTGCACGTACGCCTCTGATAGCAACTAATTGAAATATTTAAACTCCCCCAAATAAAACAGAACCAATTAACTTAAAAATATCCAAAAACGAATCGATGAAACCTTCAACAAACAAGAGACGAGTGAGAGTTGAAAGAACAACGATTAATGTTAAATGTTTGCGTGACATAACCTCAAACTACACAATAACATGAATTTTATTTATATCTTACTGTTCATTATCTCTCAAGTCAAATCCGAATTAGCAAATAATTTAGAACCATTAGTTGGTGTAAATAAATGTTGCGAAGAAAACGAACTCTATGAGGGGAATTATTGTACCAAGATAAACAAGACGGAGCAACCATGGAAGCCCATGTTTTACAGTGAGGATGGTAAAACAAACATTCAAGTGAAATACAGGTAATAAACTACTTTTAGAAATGAAAAAAGTACTCGTAATATTTTTTAGATTGGTAATTGGTTTACCAGACTGTGGTCCAAAAGCCCCATGGCCCATCTACCACTACCAAAACTCAACTGATCGCCTGAGATTACTCTCAAATGGTGTTTTGAGACATTACTTCGACCGCAACATTCCCCACGATGAAGAATTAGACGATAACAGTAAAAATTCCCTGTATCATGACTATGAACCTGGAAAATACTGCCTAGAAAAGGTACTAAATACTCATTTTGATTTTCTTGTCACTTTTTACAATTTTAGAAAATCGATGATAAATTTGTAAGTCAATTCGCTCGTGTTTGTGCCCCTGATCATCACACACATTGGACTGAAACGAAATTCCTAATGAGAAACATCATATCTCCCATCACTCACGGTATTGGAATTGTGTGCCTTTTGATAATAGCCATCATCTATTTCATAATGCCAACTTTACGTGACCTTGTTGGTAACATTGTCACCACCATCAGCATGTGCCTTATAGTCAGCCAAGCCGCTGATTTAATCAGAGTCTTAACAGTTTTTGATAGCCACATAAGCCTTATTATAAGCGATACCATCTGTTACTTTAGCCTACTTGGGGCGTTTTTCTGGTTAAACAGTCTGGGTTATTACATTTGGAAAACTTTTAGGTAACATTGTAAATTGTACATTTCATAAATATGCTAATATTGACATTGCAGGTCAAGGAACGTTTTTCTAAGAATCACAGATGGGAAAAAATACTGTTATTATTCAATGTATTCATGGTCTTGCACTCTTTTATTGGGAGTCTTGGCCGTTTTTGCCCACTTTACGATGGATTATCCTGAGGACAAACCGCAACAAGAGGAAAAGGAAGAAATCGGTAAAAAAATTAAAAAATTTGACGTTGATGATCAGTTTTTTCACAAGAATAGATTTGTTTCAGGATCACTGGGAATAATCCTGTTTTTCGTCCCAGTCGCCGCCACAATAATAATGGACATATTTTTCTTTGCAACGACTTTGAAAATCATAAGTCGAATGCACACATACGGCCGCATCCACCACAAACTGACCCACAGGTAGAAACAAAACACCACTGCATGTCAGTTTTGACTGAATCGCTTTTTTCAGCTTTCGCATGTTTTTCTTATTATTGCTAATAATGACGATAACATGGCTGTTTTTCTTGATGTCGTTTTTCAAATTCACTGGTCTCGTTAACTGTTACATAATAGTGAACGCATTCCAAGGACCTCTAATCTTATACGTTTGTATTTTCAACCAGAAACACGTTGCATATCTAGTGCGGAAAACGTGTTGTTACGAAAATTGCTTTTGCAAGTGTTGTCGCAGTGAACCCGAAGCCGAATGGGGCGACGAAATGACGGCCATGAATACGGGGATTTATTAGGCAGCTCAGTATTTAAAATACTGAAGAATTATATCCGTCCTTAGCCCTGATTTAGGACTAAATTCGCACATTTAATAGGGCGGCCTTACTGTTTTAATCTCATTTTGACAATTATTTATGTATTTAATTTACATTTTTGTGTACTTACATATTTATAATAAAAAGAATTGAACAACTCACCTGACTAAACAGATGTCCCTCTGGTCTCCTAATTAGAGCAGAAAGTTGGCATTGCACCACTAAGTGAGAGTCATCTAAAACTGTATTGAAAAACCTCCTGGTGGGTAGAAGGGCCTCTAGATCCGTCACTAATTCAAGAAATCTCTCACAATAGTGGATTTTATCAAGTGGGCAAATCCCATCTTCAGTGATTGTGTCAAGAATGTTTAAGAATTTTAGTATCAACTTGTGCAAAAAAGTTCGTTCCCAATTAAGTCTCTCCAACTCGTCTGGTTTGTCTTTTTTCTGAATTGCTTTCCAGTATTTACGCCACTTTGGATTTTTTTTAAACTCATATTCACGACGTCCGGGTTGTAATGATACCCACATTGACAGCGATACCAATCTTTTGACTTGATCTCTGCACAGCCCCTCTTCCATACTGTTAAAACAGTGGTTTAGAAAAACAAGAAGTGAAGTTTGCTCTCTCAAATTAATTAATAGTTCGTCTTCCAAGAGCCCTTTAAGCACTTGTTGGAAGAAATCAGGAAAATGGGTGGGATTTTTGCGAAACGCCTAAAATAAGCCCGTGAATAATCAAATATCTGAAAGTTTAACAACAATACCTGCCAAACTTGCACGCGTTCCCGAAACTTCTCATTTACCATATTCACAATGGATAGCATGTGTGCATATGAAGCGCCTGGCTTGTAATTGGGCCATAAATAGTTCTCCAAGTATTGGCTAAACTCTAACACCATTATTCTTCTTATCGAAAAACTGAAAAATGTTTTGTTATAACCTCACTTTTGCACTGGATTAATTTCAAATTTCATACTTGCTACCGCGAATGTCTTGTTGGTATATATCTTCCACGATTTGTGAGTCAAACGGTTGTTGGTTTTGAGCTGAATGCGGCGCCCAGTATTTTTCAGCAAACTTAAAAAAATAATGTAAACAAAATTTTAGGTTAGAGTGGAGTTACTCACTTCTGTTATTCGGTCAGCGTTAATTTGCTCCACGGTGGGAGCCACCACTTTCGTGGCGTTTTCATCCATTTGTTTCACAACAAAGACCCCGGAAAAACAGTTTAATTGCTTGAAGTAATTAATAAATTAATCAACGTTCAAACAACGCCACAAAAAACCAAATTTGACCAAACGATGGTGATGTTTTTATTTCAATGTTGGTGGTACTGATAAATAAAGAAATAGTATGGCGCATTTAAATAAAAATACAAAAAATAAATGCTTAAATGAAACGAATGACTGTATGAGATAACAATAATGAATTTTATTTTTAAAAATTGTATTAATGGCGAATAATTTCCGGTTGCTGAAAAAAAGTTTACAAGGGGAAGTCAATATAATAACAAAATACAGTAACTTTTAAAAATTTGTATACAAAAATTATTTTCAAGTTGTCTCAAAAATAAGTTGCATACAAGTTTATACTTTTTAAATGAAACACCCTACAGTCATCATTCAAGCTGTAATTTGGGCTCTATAATCGGCCAATGTGAGTCGTTCTGTGAGACTAATTAAAGAGCAATTTACACTGCCGATTTTGCAGAATTTGATTACTTTTAAAACTACATAGTAGTTGTAGTGTTCCAAACAATAAAAAAAAAATTTTCCTAATTTTACTGCCAATTTATTAAACAGTATGTTACATCATAACAGAATGATAGTTGACACCTTGCATTACAAAAACAAATCATACTGTAGTAAAAATAGGAATGTAAAAAAATTAAGTCAAAGTATAATTTTTTACAAAAAAACATATTAATGAATTGGTTAGATATACGTTCTAATCAGAACAAAAAATGATGGTTTTATAAAAAGACCAGAAATCAGAATGATGCAATTAGTGTTACCAGTTCAAAAAAATAGAGTTCACCAGATCCGAGTTGAAAAATTTAAGTACACCAATTTTCACCAGATTACAAAATTTTTACCATTTAAGTTTTTTTACCAATAGTGTCAAAAGTTAACATTTTTAACGTAAACTGAATGGTTAAAGAAACCAAAGAACTAGGTAAAAATATAATATAATGGTTTTTAATAACAATTTAGTAATTTTTGGTATAACACACAAAAACAGAGTTTTCAGCTTAAAAATCTGCTTATACTCTCGTAAAAGGCATAAATAACATCGTTTTCGGTCTAATTCTGAGGTTTTTCGGCTTAATTCTAACAAAATTTTGCAAAATACTTTTTTAGCTGAAGAACGTGTTTAAACCCTTAAGAAATATAAAAATGAAATAATTTTCAGCTTAATTTGTTGATTTTTTAGTTTGTTTTTAAGAAAATCTGGCAAAAAAAACTGAGACTTTAGTGTAAAAACGTGTTTTCAACCAAATTTTGTAGTTTCCAGACTTATTTTTGTTCTAATTTTAATTAAAACCAGTTAAACAAGCAAGAGAACAGCAATATCAATTATTTTTGTGATTTTTAAGCGTGTTTGGACAAGGTTTTTCAAAAGTAAGTGAGCCTCTTGTTCAAAAACGAAGTAAGTTGACCGTAACAAACAAAAAATAATATCAATTTTGATTTAGTTTTGTATTTTTTGTGGCCCGTATTAACTAAATTTTTAGTTTTTTTTGTTTTTATTTTATAAACGTGCTTAAACACTCAAAAAAGTAAAAAACAACGCCATTTTTGGACAGTTTTATTAAATCTTTAGCTTGTTTTTAACAGAATTTTGCAAAATTATTGTGCTTCCAACTAAAAAATGTGCCTACCTGTTTTAACTAAATTTTTGATTCTCAAAAACGTGTATGAACACTCAAAAAAGTTCAAAAATAACGCCATTTTTAACATATTTTGTTTAATCTTTAACTTGTTTTTTTTTTACGAAATTTTGCATAATCATTATGCTTCTAGCTGAAAAATGTAGGTACCTACAAAAGCATTTGCAAAAAAAACAAAAGTAAATTGTCATTTTCTACCCTAGAAAAACAAATAAAACTTTTTTTAACCTATTTCGTGACTTTTCAACTAATTTTGTAGTTTCCAATTTATTTTTGTCCTAATTTTTAATTTAACTCATTAAACAAGCAATTGAGCGTCAATATCAATTATTTTTGAGCAATTTTTAAGCATATTTGAACAAGATTTTTTTTAATAAGTGAGCTTCTTGTGCAAAAACCAAGTAAGTCAAACGTAACAAACTAAAAAAATAATATCAATTTTGATTTAATTTTGTAATTTTTGATCTGTTTTAACTGAGTTTTTTAATTTTTTGTTTTCATCTCAAAAACGTGCTTAAACACTCAAAAAAGTAAATCTTTAGCTTGTTTATAACAGAATTTTGCAAAATCATTGTGCTTCTAGCTGAAAAATGTACCTACTTACAAAAGTATTTGCAAAAAAAAGTAAAAGCAAATTGTCACTTTTGACTTGCTTAGTAAAATCTTATAGAGAAACAAATAGAACTGTTTTAAACCATTTTAGTGCTTTTTCGATTTTTTTTTAACAATTTGGTGAAATAATTAAGTTTCTGATGGTTGGAAAACGTGGAAAACGTTAGAAGAGATAGTATCATTTATTTTTGAGCTAATTTACAATATCCGTAATTGAAAAAGTGGAGTATTCATATCGCAGAGTTACTACAGTTTTTTTAATTTTCAAATTACCTGATATTAGAATTTTTACAGAAGATTTCACCAAATCACTAAAATTACCAAAATTGGCAACATTACTGGCTGCAACGTCTTGTATATTGCAAGTTTTAAATCAGTCAATTATGTAGTAGTCCTATTCAAAAATTAAACATTATCTTACTATAGACAAACAAGAAAAAAACGAATTTTACGTATAAAAGTTTAAAAATAGTATATTACATAACAAGCACGGAAAGTGATAAATAACGCACAAGCGGGAAAGTTAGGCGTTAGCCCAGGGCCGTACCCAAGGGGGGGGGAGATTAG